AAACTACTTTCACTTGGAGGAATGCCTTCAACAAAAGTCTTTGTCGCCACTCACTTCCACATAGTATACCACAGTTCCCTCAGACTAATAAGACGTAAAACTACATTTAGTGGTTAGACCGTAATAGAAAGAACAATTATTTATTGCGCTTTTTGAGAATCTATCAAACTTGAGTCCCAAACTATCTCCCGTGTTAAAATCTTTCACCCTCTCTTCACTTTGTTTTGTATCTCAATCCACCTGCCCCTTATTATTGTTATCGTTATTATTGTTGTGGCGTTGGCACCATGCTTGTCTACAAGCCGGTGTTAAATATATATATCCCGAAAGTATAACCCGTACATACAAACACACAAGAATATCAAACGAAATGTCTAATGCTTGTAAAATGGAGTGGATTCATCCAAACTATTCCAAACGTGTTAGGTAATATCTTTCAAAAAAGGCTTGTCGAAAAACATAGAGGGCACTCGTGGAACACGCAGTATCAATATGAAATAAATGCAAAGCAATTAATGCCGGTAGTAGATTTAACATCATTCCTGATCTATTGCTTCTAGATTTAAAAGGCCATGTTCGGTTTAGTTTATTCACTCACTTATAGATACCAGGCGCAATTGATGGTCTTGCATGTTTATTTCACCCCATAGGAATTCTTTTTGATTCCCAACCAATTAGATGCATTTGTTATGACTTATAACCTGAAAGTTTGTAATTCGAGTCCTGTCAGGAACAAAAATGTAAGCCCTGTTGCAGAGTCCCAACAATGATGAAACAGATTTCCAGTGCTCTTTTCCGGTCATCACAGAGATTTCCGCTGCAGAGGTATTTCCTGCGTGTGCCATGTGATTCATTTGGAATTGATTTAAACTCATCGCACGCATCACTGAATCTAACTTGCGTTTGGAACGTGATCAGAATACTCTTGCAACAACCCCAGTTTGTCAAGGTTCAGTTGTGAAAGCACTTTGTATCATTGCTTATTGTCTACCACATTACACTGTTTGTAACCTCTTTAGTAATTGAACTAGCTTCAAAAATGCTGAATCTCAGAGGGAACTCAATAGTTCCTAACCACATTAAGTCTTCTTGTCTTTCGTCTTGAGCCATCATGAATCCCCCAATGGTGTGCTCATGTTATTTTAGGATTCATCGTGATAATGAATAGATTCTCAATCAATGAAATAAACGATTTTAGGTGCTAATTATAAGTCTTCTAATCATTCAAAATCTGCTATTGCGTAGTTTCCATTTTATATTAATTTACCAAAATTATCTATTTCTATGATTGTTGAGATTTTGTTTGCTTTTGAGAATTAACTTCACCAGGACTTTGTGATGACTTAATCGCTTCAATGACCCCAAAAAATGGTTAAATTAACCCGAAAGTTTATTCACATCTGAAAGATCAGACGGAAGATTTTAGAGGAAATTTAGTCTGATCACCTTGCATCCTAAGGGATGATTCAAACCAGCATCTCAGTCAAAAAATAACAGCAAATAATCGATCTAAGTGTCAGTTTTTGATTCATTGTTTACGCTACTCCTTTTTATGTTATTTTTAGGGCTAACGACTTTAGCTGAAACCTTTTATTGGCGAACTTTTGGCAGTGATGGCTCAAAAACCACAAAAAGGAAACATTTTCTCCATTGGTCGAAATGGTGAGAATCTGACTGGTCCTTGTTTTAAGCAAGGTGAACCGTGCTTGATGGCCTGCTGTTTATATAAAGTCCAATCTTTGTTAACATCTTTGTCTTGCCGAACCTTCTTCTTTATCCCCATCATCCGATTCGTTGCATCTCTCACCACAACCGATTTGTTATCATGGACAAGTAGGGTACTTTATCACCCAAAAATAACAGATTGTGTTACAGCATCGATATTTACCCCCGACGAACGTCAGCTTTTTAACTACTAATTACAATGAGAACTGTAACAAAAACAAGCGTTTTACTGTCTTCTAATTTAGCATTTAATTGCTTTCAGGAAAAGTGACGGGCTGTGGTCGTTTAAACGCGGTCTAAGAGAGCAAGGTCTGTAGGCGATAGTGAGATTTGAACTGCTAAAACCCAGGTAGGTATGAATCGGACATTTGCAATTTGAAGGCCTGCGCAAAAACCACACAGATGAGTGATTGTTGTTCTTTAAACATCAAACACGCAAATTCACTATTTGGGCAGCCTAACCCGCTCAACTGGATTTATTCTTCAAATTATTTCTTTATATAAAAGACGACGACAGAGCCTGTTTGTCTAAGCTGTGAAGATATAGTATTCTACTGTCAGTTGAATCACTTTAATAGCTGACTGTTTGAGAAGACTCTATGGCTCAGTTAGCAGTTAATGGAAATTCAGCGATAAAGATATTTGTTGGTGACACCAGACATCTGACTAATTGCAGTTTCCTTACACTGGTAGACCAAATCCCAAGTTATCTATGTTTTAAATTGGGTTTAAGAATATCTTTTAAGCAAGTATTCTGTAGGATAACTTTTCTCACCCAATTTCGATGGTTTATTTTGTGAAACTCCGCTTTTAATGTAAGCTGAAAGATATATTCGCTTTGTGTATCATTTTGTTCACTCGCTCCTTGCTGTTTTGCAAACGTAATTTTGCTATTCTTCTCATAATCGGTGGATTCAGTTGACAATAACAGCAAGAATGAAAACAAATATTGTTAAACTCCTAAACATGGAATTCGTTTGGAGTTTAAAGTTGTCACTTTTTAATGAATAACAGAACAAAACATCTTGTTCATATAAATACGGCATTCGCACTCAAGGATCTAAAGACTGGTACAAGTGAAAGAATGTCAGTTTACTCAGAGGTTTTCTTTTCTAAAAACGTGCATTGAGGCAAAATATATCCAACGACTCAACATTATTTTAAAAAAGAAAAGACAAGATCCTACTCAAAGTTATTCTCGTATATCTGATCAAGAAAAACATGCTTAATTTATAATACCCTTTTATATGATTCTGGTGTGGTTCATGTTGTTGAGTGACCTGTAGCATGTCCAACAATATAGTGACGTTTTGAAATACTAAATAAACAGCAATTTCATGTTTACACAGATTTTGAGAAATACGTTTTCATGTTTAGTTCTAGGTATTTTAAAGTTCTAGGTAATTTTTTACCTCCTTGTAACTTTAATTTAGTGTATAAAAATAATAAGAAGTAGATAAATTTCATTGTACAGATTTTGGAAACAATTTACGAACAAATTTTGATTAAATTATCAGCGGTTTTTAAAAGCATATTTTGTTGATAGTCACATTGAGTTACATTTTGACATCAAATTATTTCACGAGTGATGATTTAGTAATTAAGTACCTTATCACTGTTTACTGATGCAACATACCTGCTATAAGATATTTAATGCAATTACCGTCTCAGTATAGCTCAGAGTTGAAATACGATAATTCTTCATGTATGGTTTTAGACAAATTTAATTAACTCACTAATGCACTAATTCAAGTGCATTCCTTTCACCGAGAAACAACTATAATTTGTCAGTTAATGAATAAAACTCAATACCGTCCAGTTTACTTTTGTAATAACAAGAATAACAGATGCAGCATGAACTGTTTGGACAGTGCTAGTACATTATAATATATTGACCAGAAAAAAAATATCTTGAGGGAAGAAAAATATCAACATAAATTACAGGTGTTTAAACATTTAAGCCTAGTATTTTACTGATATTTTTGATTTCAGAAACTCTTGTGCATGTTCTGAAGGAAACAAAGTACATAAGAGGGGGTACCAAAACAATATATATATATATATATATCGTTCTAATCTGACTATGCTAGATAATGGAACTTCATACAAAAAGCCATTATCGTCATTAATACTAACAAACTTTCTTATGGAAGTTTAATTTCTACATTTGAGATTACAAATCCGTGATTTTGCCAAAATGGGGTCTTTTTATGTTTCCAACTAATTATATAATAGACAAATTTCTTGGTATTATAGTTACAACTGCGGAATATTTTAGACATGCAGTGAACATGCTTGTACATTGCTACAAAGTTACAACAATGTCGTGTAAGTGAAAGATGAAAGACGATTTGATCAGCTTCCCGGTGACCGAACGGGTAGCATGCTTGCGCTCTGCCCATGAGGTCCCGGGTTCGATTCCCAGTTGTGTCGATGGATTCGGATTGCTGATGAGACCCAACCAGGTCGAGACAGCTGTCCAGTGCTTCCTAGCTTTTCAGCTTACGCTTCATTTGCCATATACACGACGAATTCCCATTTGAAATTTAATCAAATCCTCCATTATTCACATGCAATGATAATAAATTTGGTAAATAATTGTGAAATATTTTTAAAGTTTCATTTGGTCTCACTTTTGTTATTTTTAATTAGAGGGGAATTTATGACTTTTGTTGAGTTTCAAAGGATTATATCAATTAAGGTAACATTTAATCTGTTGATAGTTTACACCGATTTATTTCACAGAACAATTGTGTACAGTATGGAGTTTTACGTACAAGCATTACCTGCGTTTAAGTCAACGCGACCCTGCGAGACTAATGTAAGCTGTAAATATAAAAGTGAATAGACGTTATATCAATAGTTTTACTGTACAATGTGACAAATTCCGATCAGAGTCTAATTGGAGTCCTTTTGGGTCATTTTGGAGGAATCTACTTTTGAATCCTTTTTGCAATGAAACGGCCTAAATATGATCAATTTGGGCTCGAATAGGACTGAGATGGGATAATTCTACAAGTTGAGATACAATATAGAATCCTGCGTGTAATGCTGTGTTGTTTTCAATGTATTGAGAAATTCTAATTTTTTTAATGTTTTCGTACGTTGGTAGAAATAGCACGATAGTCAATATTTTCCGAAAACGATTGTATTCGTAACCCTGTAGCAAAAATGTAAAACAGAGGCTTCTACCATGTTATCAAAGACGCAATTCACACATCTAGGTAATCTGCAGAGAAAATAAGCTTACAACAAAGGCTAATTCTGTGACTTACGTAATTTGAAGTACTCAAAAGTAAAGATGTATCCAGCGGGGTGATAGTGACTGGGGTAGATAGCTCCTCTCGATTTCCGGTGTCCGGCTTAGACTCTAATACTGAATTATGAATATCGGGTAAACTTTGATAAACATTTCTTTGATTATTCGATGTGAATGCAGACTCATCGCTGCTAAACGAACCGGTAAGCGTACGAGCACATTCCACAAAGGGTAAACGATCGGAAAATTCACCTTGAAATCCTGTGGGAAATGTGTAGATTCCTTCACTATCCGGAACAATATTGACATTTTGTGACTGGTATTGAAGTGGCGGTGCAGTGGTAATTTTCGTAGATTGGTTATCGATCCACACATGCTTTCCTGGAGAACCATCAACTTTGACAATTCTATTATTTAGAAAATCCGTGGTGTAAGTGAGGTCCGACAGCATGTTGCCACTCTTCAGCAAAGAACTTTGTTCATTTTCTCGCTCAATTCCATAATGTTTTGAATGAAAATAGAGAAAGCACACATTCACTTTTAAACACAACGTTGTGATTCATGTAAACTGATTGTTCGAAACCTCTATCAAAAAGTTTTAGCTCTAAATAAACCTATCACACAATGCAGTTTGGTCATTCAGTTTTGTCGACATTAACTGTATAACATCCATTGAGTGAGTAAAAACACATTTCGCGGAATCTCATGCAAGTGACAATTTACCGCATTTTTATGAGGATTAGCTCAGTTTCTTTCATATATACAAACAAATTCATTCACGAGAAAAACATTTAGTTGGATCAACTGAAACCATGTGTATAGTAAATCCATCGAATATTCTTGTTGTTCCTTAAGCAAAGCTATAGGTTTGACTTCCAGTTTTTACAAGTATGTTCAGGTGAGGTCAGGTCGGTCTGCACAGGACTGATGGCAGTCGTAGAAAAGGGCAGGTCACAGGAATTGCGGCGGAGCTAGACGTAGGCCGGTCTCTTGCACCAATGAGCTTGGGAGTACCACGGCGCTGCAACAATTGTGTTATTTCGTTCACGTAGACGTGAGTGAGTGCGGTTCTGGAAAAGGAAAGCGGACTTCAAAGTGACAGTACACGTCTGAGGTTTTGTCATGATCAAAGCAATAGCTCGCAACCAACCGCTCCGAGCTACTCAGAGTAAGAGGTGTGTTTGGAGGAGAAAAATGACCTAAAAGTGGTGGTGCTGGATGTTAAGAAGTTTCGGTAAAATGTGGTGAACAGTGAATAAAAATGGAGCTAAGGGAGTTGGAGTGTGAGATGAGGAGTTGATGTAAACAGGGGGACGGAGACGGATGAGCTGTTAGCGACCTTAGGCCTGGCGTCAGACACAATCGCGGAACGCTGATGCCAGGAAGCGTCAAGCTTCAGCTTGAACTCGGCCATGGTTTATGACGCCACTACCTCTTGAGGCAGTTTGTTCCATGTATTAATTACCCGGTACGAAAAAAAGTGGCTCTCAGACGTTTGAGTGCCCGAGGCTTGTCTAACATCATGCCGTGTCCCCTTCTGTTGGGTATATCGTTCCGCTGAAGTAGGTGGGAGATTCCATGAAAGAAACCCGTCAAGATACGGAAGGTTTCAATCAGTTCCCCTCTCAGCCTTCTCCGACTGAGTGAGAACAGGTTCAGCCCCTGGAGGCGTTCGGCATATATCACCCCCCGAAGGTGCGGGTACATGCGCGTGAACCTCTTCTGCACCCTTTCCAGAACCCTTTGGTCCTTCTTCAGAATAGGGGACCAAGCTGGTACGCAGTACTCCAGATGCGGCCGAACGAAGGCCATGTTTAGCGGGGACTAGCACGACAGAATCCGTAGACGTCACTGTGCGCTTCAACCTGAACAACGCTCTATTGGCCGTACGTGCCGCAGCAAGACACTGGGCGAGGAGTTAAAAGCGGAGTTCAGAGTGACCCCTAGTTCCCTGATATCTGGCACTACTGCAATAGCCTCCTCGCCTCGAGTTACCATGCAGCATGGCTCAGCTCTCTGAGCACTCCCGGCTGGTAGGACCTTACACTTCGCTGCATTCAATGGGAGACCTCACTCTCCAGACCATACTTTCACTGCATCTAGGTCAAGCTGGTGGTCTACACCCTGATGCGAGCCAAGTAGTTTAACGTCATCTGAAAAGATGAATGTCGGGTTTGATAGACGGGGGACTAGATCATTGATGAAGACAAGAAACAACAATGGTCCAAGGACCGAGCCTTGTGGGACCCCGCTGTAAGCATGCCTGCCGTCCGACCAATCCCCCTCCACCCTTACCTGAAAGGTTCGCCCTGTCGGGTAGCTCTCATTCCACCTGACTTAACTAGGGTGGATCCCTGTCGATCTAGCTTATTTAACAGCAGCCGATGGTTTACGGAGTCAAAGGCCTTACTGAAGTCTAGATAGCAGACTTCGACTCCCACCTCCCTGTCCAGCCGTTCAGTCACGGCATTCAGGACGATCGCAGCGGTGAACCTGGAATCCCGGTGGACAGAAACCCGCGATACAAAATTCCGACCTGAACCAAGTCTCCATTATGGAGAGGCAGTGCGTTTGGTCAGCCTCAGCCCGGAGCTCGGCCCACCTGTTGATTGGGCTGCAGGCGTAAGTGTAGTAAACACTGAGAGCCTGCGCCCTTTTACCTAACATTTCTTTTGAGAGGTTGCACCCGGGAGCATCGGGGCCTTATGTGGTTCACCACTCCAAGTTCCGGGGCTTAGGTTGCCGATTTCAACCACTGAACAGCAGGTCCTCGTGACCATGGGGTTTACCCCGTCTGTTGTTCATCACACCTGGGTGTGTCATAAAAAACCGGGAGTTGCTCCCGGGTAACCTCCAAGTTTTTTACCATGGGTCTACTAATGGACTTTACCTGTGGGTCCTCCGCCTTATTGTGGTCTTCGTGCCCTAGAGACCATTTCTCGGATCAGACCTGAGTGCAGGGATTGTTTTCCTGTCCAGATTTTCGTGCCCGACTCTCACTGCATGAACGGACAGAAGCTTCGTGCTAAATTGCTGCCTGCAGCTAGATGAGGCCGTTATGTTGTGATCGCGGGGGTAGTCCAGCCCTTCGGTTACCTGTTCTTCGGTAAACTTCCTCACATTGGCGGTTGCTGCCAGCATCAAGTCCCGGTGCCTCGGATTGTGAAGCTCTACAAGGGTGGCCTAGGTGGTAAGGCGCTAAGCGCTTGTTGATCGCCCTGCCTTTTCCCAAGTGGCAAAACTCGCTTGATTTGCACCTCTGGGGGGATCTGAGTGAGCCGGACTATGTTTTTAACTTGCTGTAGGAGCGCTTGCCTGCGGCTGGGCGTTTCTCTCCAAAACGGCTCTGGGATGCCCCAAATAACGGCATTTCTGTTTCTTCCTAGGGCTGTGTTGATATGGGCCTCAAGCATATGCAAATAGTCTCTCAGGCTGGTGGTGACTTCGGAGAGCTTCGCAATGGCCTCCTCATAAGCATTCATGCGCGCATCAAGTGTCTCTTTCCCTAGTGACAAGTGATACTGGATAGCCTTGTTGGTTTCCTGCCTGTTTTCGGTTGCCTGCACACTAATCCCTGCGGTTGCCGATTTGACAATGCATGCCTTAGGGATAGACTTTACCCCCCCCCCGGCCGAATGGTGCCACTGGCGTGGTTGGTTGGTTTCCGCGCTCATGCTCCCCCACTAAAATCCATTCTCGGTCGATAACTCCTCCAGACTGGTTTCCCTCCCCAGGCATCAGAGTCCCTAGCTCGGGGTTACTGCTGTTTATCTGCTTTCTCGGGGTCAATTTTCACGGAGAGGCTTGTACTGCCAGCTGTGAAGGAGATTTTCCTTTCGGTAGCAATGTTTTCACCCTGGATATGCCGATAGAGTTGGCGCAGTTTGGACAAACCCATTTCAGAAACTTGTGGACAGCATAGTGTTCAACTGCCTTGGACGTTAGTTTGCTGCACTGTTGGTGAAACCAATCCTGGCACAGATCACAAGGTATGCCCTCAAACACCTCGAGAGAACACCCTTTTCTGGCACACGGGTAGGGTGTAATAACCTGTTTGGCTCGTGTAGCCCCTTTAGGAGGATTTCTCTGAGCTACCATGGCACTTGTCTAGATGCACTTTGAGACCATATCCGGTAAAAGGGGTGTGTTAAGATGAAAGCCCTACACAAAAGCCATAAAAGCCAAGGATAAGTAACTATGGATAGTACTCTCGGCAGTAAATGTTGTAGCCTAGTCACTCACCTGGACGGGAATTCGTCTAGTTGGTCCCGCCACCCGGGTTTCGCTCAGTTGTGGCTCCCAGATTCACATTTCCGATCTCCAGCGCGGAAGGTCCGGTATAAATTGCGCTTCCACTAATTTTTCAACAGGAAATTGAACCCTCGAGTGTTGCCTCCACTTATTGTCGACCCAATTTTACAGTGAAACGTTCCACTCGAAAATTCGAAGCGCGCGCCAGTTCAGATTTACGGGCCAATCAAGCGTCCAGAATTCCTTTTGTGGTGTGCTCTCGAGTGTGCGTCCACCTCTGAGATTGATAGATTTCTCTTTCTATCTGCAAACAGAGAGAAAGAGAGAATTTTCTTCTCTCCCTGTCGGCTTTTGTGAACGCGTTCCATGTTACACAAAATAATGCCCCTAACATTCTATGGTAGGGAAAACCTCCAACCATCTGGCGTCCAGAGCTCTTTCAAAGGCTTGGACATTTGGCTGGTTGATTAGTCCAAATTATTCGCTACCTTATTGCTAAAGAAATCTGCTTGTAGTTTCAGCCTAGAACGCTATTTCTAAAGCTTGAGCTCATGACCACGCGTTCCTTGGTGGGGAGCCTCATTGAAGAGAAATACCAGATATAAACCCAGCAATTTTTTCCTAATCTTAAATACTTCGATGAGGTATCTGCGCAATCTCCTCTTTTCTAGTGAGAAAAGATCGAGCACGTATAACCTCTCTTTGTATGTTTTACCCTGCATACGCTCAAATAATAATAAAACGAATAACGGTATATTTCGCGAAGCCCGCGAAGCATTCTAGTGTGCATGATTAAAATGTAGAACAATGTGAAAAATGAACAGTGGAATAAAAAAAAGTAATGGTAGAAAGAGTGTAGGAACGTAATTTTCAAACAGGTATTTAAAAAAGTGTGCCTTGCGTTGAAAACGAAACACAAAGCGGACAAGGTCATAAAATGCAGTATTGGGGGTGATCTATTATGTAATGCACATCACTTATTTATTCATATCTTTGTGACTCCATTTTCCCCGTCTATTGTTCGACATTTTGTTCTCTCCGTATCTTCTCCCATTAGAGCCGCACTCCGTTTCCCCACAATAACGAGGTAACAGTTACTTCAATTTCGATTGATATAAGTATTCGGCACATTCTTACATCCTCCACACCAACGTTTGTGACCTCGTCCGCTTTGTGTTCCGTTTACACAGCGTTTTCGTTCTGCTCTTTTGTGGCCTCGTCCGCTTATGTTCCTTTACACAGCGTTTTCGTTCTGCTCCCCTACCATCTCCAGTATGTACGTCTTCCAAGTAGACGTTTTCGTTCTGCTCCCCTACCATCTTCAGTTTTGTACGTCTTCCAAGTATTTTATCTATCTACCTGTACTGACGTTGTACACATGATTATTTTGAACACATGATCATGCCTTGTGCATGCCTCACGGGTTTCGTGAAATATACATTATCATTATTATTATTATCAGACTCCTTTATACTCGCTGAAGCCGTACTTCCAGATGCTTTAGTCCACCTGCACTCCAGCATTGACCCTGAACATGTATCCGCTTGAGCCCGGTTGTCAGCCTACCCTGTATAATAGTACTTTTGTGGTTACCGCACACTGAGCAGTCTACTGTCTATCCACCAGGGACATTCAGGTCTTCTGCATTACACACAAGTGAATTCACACGGACCTGCACGCATGCCTACACCATTTGTTCTGCTTGGTCTCTTTTTATACACCTTCCGGAAAAAGTTCCGTCCACATTGCGCCAGGCGACCCTTGAACTCCCTAACTGAGTCTGCTGAAACAACCGAGGCTGGTAACTTGTTCCAAGGGTTTATAACTCTATGAGAGA